TGCATATAAGCATCGTGATGCAGACTTATTGTGCACAAGTTGAAATCTCTTTTGCACTGCGTGGACCAGCAAGGTATGAAAATACACATACTGTGAGACTGGGAAATAGATTTGCATTTTAGAAGGAGCAGAGAAGGGAATTACGTTAACAGGATATAATGGAAAAGAGCGGGGAAATTGTCTATTTGGGCATTATTGTTGTGTGACTTTTTAGGTGCCTAGCAGATTGTTTTTAATTTTTAGCTTTCTTTATATGTTGTTAAATATTGTTACCCCAATAGCACTGTGTATATCACAAATGTGATGCAATGTTGGAACAGGTTTTGCTTGTAAATGTATTTGTAACTCTAATTGCAATGACAATTATTGCAATAAGGCTGAGAGCTGTGAATGAAGTGTCATGTTAGTCCATTCTCCCTTAAGTCTGGCTACTTATTGTTAGCAAACTTTCTGTCCTTGAACATCAGGAGATGATCTCGGAGGGGTTTTGTTTGTTTGTAAGTACTCCTCAGGAGAGCAGTGTAAGTTACTATTGTTTAGTCAAAACTAAGAGTGGACCACAGCAGAATGTAGACGATACCTTAATCTTCACCGGTAAAGTTGTTTTGCTGCTTCTAAGTACTGACTTGCCAGCTGGTTTAATTTTAAATGGAAAACAGCCTTGTGGTGGTTAAGAAGGTTCTTTATTAAAATAACAAGGGCAGTGGTAGCTAGAAGCAGCTTATTCAGAGGCTGTAAAAGACCAGGGCCATTTAGCAGTAGGCAAAAGGTAGCCCTGAGCAAGATGAGAACAATGAACTGTCAAGAAGTGGTTGTCAGGAAAGTGAACAGTGAATTTCACCCATTAAATTTCCTTTCAGATGTGTTTGCAACCTATTTGCCTTTCCCTTTCCCTTTCATTTGATTTCAATAGTGTATGAAGAAGACTTCTGTCACTCACAGCTATTGTTCCAGAACGTTGTAGGGTTTAAGTTGATACAGCATTAACTTATGTCATTAAGGCTGTACCAGCACTCCCAGCCTGGCACTATCTGCCATTAAAAACACATTTTGTCAACAGTAACTGCTTTTCTTTAAGAGTGTGGTTCCTAAGTACATTCTTCTGCTCTTTGGCAAGGCGACCTAAGCTGTATTGTGGTCCCGATGATATTGCTGTTTGACTCATTTTGTCAGCTGAATTCAAAGATTTATTTTCTAGGCAGTGTCCCAGCTTGCATGATTCTGTTTTACTCCTACTTGTGAAAATCAATCATGGGGAACATCGCAGAGGAAATTACCAGCAGGAGCAGAGAGTTCCTTGAGCAGCAGCTTATCCCCGTGCCAATCAAAAGGGCTTTGCTCTTTTCCTGCCTATGTTTGCAGGAGTCCAAGAATTATTTTGGATCTGTTGTGTGGTATAAAACAAGAGCTTGTCTATAAGAGTGAATGACTATGCTTTTTTGTACACCCCAGATTTTCTTGTCTGTAACTTATTTGTATGACAATCATAATACAATCCTTTATAAAATTATGCATTGCAATCCGATGATACATTATAAAAGTATTGATATTTGCATTCCCTGGAGATGGAAGTTTTGCAGTAGATATAGATATCTATATATGTTGTGTATGAATAAAATATGTATGTGTGCATCTATATGTTTCTCAGCTGAATAATGGAGGCTCCCTTCTTGTGCAAAGCTGCTGTAGTCCTGGTTAACACCGAGAGCAGGAGGAGGAGGCAACAAACATGTTGCAGTGTGCTTGAGAGGCTTTCTGTAGCTTTGTAGGATGCCAGCACAGACCAGAAGAAATAATATGTCATTGTGTGTGGCCTACAAGAATATCTGAACTGGAAGGAGATTGAATAGCAGGGGTGGTGCTTTCAAGCTTGTCAACTGCTTGAATGGAGCTTTTCAAGTCTAAGCTCTCTTGTTAGGGAGATGTGAGGCTGCTGGGATGCTCTGTTCCAGAGCCACGGGTCGGTCCTTGTTGTAAGTGCTTGGAGGAATGCTGGAGTAATTAAGCTGAAGTCTTTAGTGAAGTTTGCAGCTGCTGTGTTGTGGTTGGCAGAGAGCTCATTGCTGAAAATACAGTGGAGGGAGTTGTTTTTGTTGTTGTGGGCAGCAGGCACGACTGAATCCCTAAATAACTGATGCCTGTGCTTAGCTGTCTGCCCACTACAGCGTATTTCCTAATCTTTGCTGGTTCGTTTTTCTTGCCCAACAGTGACACTGCTTGCTTGCTATTTAAATACTGTTATTGGTCAATGGTTGGTACTGACTGCAGTTTAAACAGAAATAAATGCTAAGTCGTCTGATTTAATTGCTTTCTGGTGTACCACACTCTGTCAATGAAGCAGGTAGCCTTGTTCTTAGACAACCTCTGATTTAATCTTGATTTTAAAGCAGTCAGCGAAGCCATTCAGCTGTCCAGTTTCTGATTCTGTTTATTATCAATAGATTTGCATTTATATATCTTGGTTTCAGCAAACTCCTTTTTGAGGTTTTAAGGCTTACTTACCTCACTTGGCATAGACTGGTGCTCCCACTGACTTCATTAGGGCCACTCAGCGGGGTGCATTTAAAGGACGTGAGTGTCCTCTCCTGAAGTGTGGCCTCAGCATCCTTATGGATCACTAAATTGCAGTGGAGGTGAAGGCAAAACCAGCAACAGCAAAACTGTTTCTAGTGAAATATGTAATGTGTTGTGGAGCTTTAAAAGAAACGGGAGAAAATTGGTTTCTGTGAGACCTTATAGGATAGAACCACCCAAACCAACAAACCACTCACGTCTGGGAACTTCATCAGAATTTTGGTGAAATTAAATTGGCAGAGGGAAAGTCAAGGCTGTAGCCAAAGCATTATATGTTTACCCAGTTCCAGTGGAAAGAGGTCTTCTGTTGCCAAGTTGCACCTTATGCTTTGGGTGGTGATAGAGGATACTGATGGACATCATTAAATGATGCATATTGCTTACATCAGGTTTTAAATATTATTTAAAGAACTTCACACAATACGTGGCTACTGAGTGGAAGATGATTGTTCACTGATAGGATTTGAAAATGGATTTTGAATCCATAATAAAAATAAACATATATGCTTTTTTTGCTTTGTTTTCTGTGCTGGTTGTGAGGAAATGGTCCTGCAAAGCTGTGCAAGGACCTCACTATATAACTTAGGGGTTAAATAACTTTCTTATTGTTAATCTAACTTCTGTTTGAACCTAAGGACTTTCACCTGCCCACTCCTAGGGGGAATGAAATATATTTACCATAATTGAACTGTAGCCTAATTTCTTTAGGTACACAGTAAGCCAATGATCTCTGGAGAATGTGCTTCTGTTCTAAGAGGCTTATGAACAGAGGAGAGCATTAAATAATTACACAACTTCCAGATATTTATGACTGCAATGAGATCACCTGACATTGAAGGCTATTTTTTTTCTTAATCTGAAATTGAATTAATTCAGGGTCTTTGGTGGTTCTTGGTGTTTAAAGTATTCCATGCTTTAAAAAAATATCTATTATCTCTTCTCACCTTGTAGCAAAAAAGACTTATACAGTGCTCTACCAAGTAAAAGCTATTAGTAAAGCACCTAAAGGCATTGATCATACAACAATTATGTTTCTAGAAATGCCTGAATTTGAGATATGAGTTTGATTTCTGTTGGTATTTTTACTAACTCACAGCCAGACTCAACAACTGTTTTCGAAGGGGCTGCTCTCAAGGTACGAGATTCAGCAATGTTAAATGGACACGATAAAAAAGTTTAAAGGCAGGAAAACCAGAACTGCTGCTGGTCAAGAGCTGGTGTTATATCTGATTGGAATTCAGATGCATTTTTGATTGTTTAAGTGGCCCTTTGCTCTCACTTTTTATTTAGCTTACGGAACTCTTGCATATTCTTTGGGGGGGCTCAGTCCAGGTGGCATTTCCCAGCTGTGTCCATGCTTGGTCCCCTGGAGCATGTAGAGTGTAACCACGTGCTGGGTGTGTTGTCACAGCTGATGTCACTAAAGCACATGCCAGTAGCTGTTCCTGAATGTTCTCCATGTGCAGCCCCAACCCCCCTTCAGCTCTGTCCTGCCCTGGCCATGCTTGCAGGCAGCAGTTGCATAAATCCCTTCATCAGCAGAATGACTTCAGTACATCCATAACCAGTGGAGAGAGAATACATCATCAAAAAGGAGGGAGGAAAGAACAGCAAATGCATCTTTGCATCCCTGCCTCATTTTCCACAGGGTCAGAAAGCAGAATTTTGCTTTATGTACTTCCACCCTAAATTGTGGATTGTGGCTGCAGCTTCACCCTGTGAAGCACCACACCTCAGCAATGGTCTCTTAGTGGACACCATGGATGTGATTGCCTAGACCTGCTAGGATTTTGCATACCAGCTTTGTTTTTATTGTACCTACATCAGCATAAATTACTCTCCTCTGCATGTAAATGTGCATCTGCCTCTCCCTGGTGTTGTTACTGATGGTCCTGATGATCACTGTTTTTCACATGTTTATATGTAAGAAGGCAGCCAAGAGCTTTGGTGCACTCAGGCTGTGGCAGCCACACAAGAGCCTGTTGGGACCTGAGGGCAGCCCAGGTATCTGCATACAGCTTTTCAGCTGGACCTCGAGGAGCAGGACAGACTTCTTTGGTTGTAGGATGGAGATGCTTGTGGTGTTCACTCGCTGGAACTTGTGCCACTGTCCCATCATGATTTCTCTCAGGGATCTTGCTTCTCTCAAGGGCTGGAAGCACAAGCATCTCCTGCAGGCTTCCCAGTTGGTTTTCCTGACCTCAGGCAACTCTTCACCTGTGAAAGGGGGAAAAGGGGTCATGATATATCCTGCATGTATAATAATCTGCCTCCTCATGATATCAGTCTTGTGACATCACACCTTGATGTGATGCCATAGGGTGCCTATGTTCTTGCCTCATCAGAGGATCCTTTTGAGCCTGTGGTCTGGCAGAGGCTTTATCAGTGCGGACAGAGAGATGCAGGTGTTGAGGACAGGAGTTGGAGTACTTGGAGTGGAGTGTGCTTGAGCTCATCCAGCCATACCTTTTCGGCCTTGTGCTTTGTCACGTGAAGGTGATGGGAGTCACATCATCCTACTGGAGGTCTGTGCAGAGCATGTTTGCTCTGAGTGCTGCTAGAGGGGTTGTAAAGAATGGGGACACCACCTTGTATGTGTCAACATGTCCTGCAGAGAAATGCAGGGTCAAGACAGTGCCATCCTATTCTACAGCCCCGAATTTCCCCTGCTGTGTAGGGCTGAGCTCCAGGGACCTCTTCCCGAGGCATCAGAGGCGTGGTCTTGTCGTGTCAACACGACACAGACAAGTAAAAACCGGGCTTGCTGCTCATTAGGCATCTTCATTAGCACATGTCTAAGTAGTGATAAAATCCAAGTGCTCTGTATGTCAAAATAAGGACTTTATTTCAATTCTGGTCATCTTAAAAGCCAAATAATTAAGGTGATGAAGAAGGTTGCTTTTACTGTCTACTCAGACAAAGGAAAAGGAGGAAACAAGATATATACTGTACCCCGAAAGAAAGGAAGACTAGATATAAAGTTGGTTAGGAATAATTTTCACAAAACCTTTTCTGGAAAGGTTTTTGCAAAACCTTTTCCAGGAAAAAAACAAATCACAGCTATATTCATAGCCTGGATTTTATTTAGTTCCTCTCTTTTCCAGCATGACTATAGTTCTGGCTGCTCTTAGGAAAGTTAGGAAATGAGGTAGCTTCAATATTAATGTAGTGAGCTACATTTGCAAAGGCAATCAAGAGCTTTACATGGTGTTCCGAGATACCGGAATTCAATTCACAGGATTTGCCAAAGCTCTATTTTTATTTTGTCTTCATCTGATGTTATCAAGGTTGTTCATGTTCCAAAAATGGATGAGTTTAGCAATAGTTAGCAGTTGGCAATAGGAGTCAAGAAGACCAAGGCTTTTAACACATTCAGAATGTTTAATTTCCCCTCCATCTGATGATAATAACATGTAAAAAGAAAATAACACAAAATTATGTGGATTTAAAAAAGCCTCCCACGCACCTTATGGAATTAAAATACTGTGTGGGCCTGGAACCACGAGTATGTTCACTAAGTATGATCTCCAGAAGCATGTTATATTTGAGAAAAAAATGAAATGAAAAATTAGTGGTTGCTGTTTTATCCAAACACTTCACTTTCCTAACATTTTGCTATGCCCATTAGGTAATCGTGCCATTTATGTTTAACTAAAAATTTCCCTTGGGGTGATATCCGTAAAATTTAAATATTTGCTTATTCATCTGTGGAGTTTCTATTATTGGAACATAACATTGCAGTATGTCTTGAAGTATGTCCAAGGAAAGGTCAGGGTTTGCTGAAGTTTTCTTGTCTGAAGCTTTTTCATGCCAAAAATGTATTTAATGGTATAGTCAGCTGGGTATTTCCGTAAGGGCAGATGATTTTGGTTGTGGTATGAAGTTGTGGTTGGAAGTCTGGCTTCCCAGGCAATCTTGGCACAGAACCAAGATGTATATTATGCTTTTGCAGAGTCACAGAACAGGCTGATGCAGAAGACATACTGGAGACAAGGATGGGAAATCCTGTCTGCTTCATCATCCCAAGAGATGTGGAGAGGGGAAGGAAAAAAATGGCAAACCCTTCTCTGAGGTGTTTTCAGGAAGCAATGTCATGAATATATACTATAAGTGCTTTTTGTGAACTTTATTTTTAAGCATGAGGGACAGGACTCAGAAATTATTAAAACAAGATAAGGTAGGCACAGCCTTAGTGTGTTCGGGAATACACGTGTTACTGCATTTTGTTAATAATTAGCCTTTTTTAGTTCGCCTAACAAAAATACAAGATGACCATAGAAAACTACTCCTTCTAATGGTACTGGCAGTGCTGTAAAATGAGACCAGCCCATGTTATGTTATAATACAGCCACAGTAGTAAATAATCCCCTTCTGGCTGTCGTAAGGAGTATTTTAGATTCCTGGAATTAGATTAAGTCAGAAACACTAGGAGGTGAAACTGCAAAATCTGCAGAGCAGAAAAAAAAGATGAAGCTGAGGATGGGAGGCCTGATTTCCTACAGCCACTCATCTTAAAATGCTGCCCATAACTCAGCAGAGCAAGTACCTCACAAATTCGGAGCACTGCTTGTCTCTGCTATTCCCAGAGGCCGTACATGGATGCTGAACATGCCTGTGTCATTTGTAAATGCTCTTTATAGTGTCCCTACAGTAAATACAGCATAATATGAACACTATAAAATTTGTGTCAAAATTTACTCATTTTCTCGATCAAAAGGACAACTTTGCTCGCAGTGAACCCTTTGGAAATCCAAGTTTATCTGGAAATAACATTGTAGTTGGTAGAGCCTGGAAATAGAATGGTATGTGGGGGGTTTAGTAAGTATAATTTAGGATATAAGAGTCACTAAGGGGGTGCAGAATGACATGGCAAAGACGCATGTACAAAATACAAATACAAACCAGATTTCTCACATAGTGGTGGCGGCTCGTAGTATAGATCCTTTATGATCCAGTTAGACTACAGTTATGAATTAAACTTCAAAGCAATTTAACAATCATGTTTTTGTACTGCATATAGTTTGACAGGCTTCATTCATAAACCTCATGCACTAAGAGCATTTTACGAGGTATTATTACAGAAGCACTGAAAAGATACGGTAACTGTGAGCAGGTTTTTGCTAGAAAACATTTCCTCAAGAAGACATTCGTGCACAGCAAGCCAGAAATATGCTATTTTTAAAAGGATTTGTATTTAGAAAGCATCTCCAGGAAGCAGAGATGGAATGTTATCTTCCTTAGGTATACGCCTGTTAAGAAATTTTTATCGTGTGCAGCAATCTAATGTTAGATCATGTAAGAGGGGGTTTGCACATTCCTTTCTCATTTCTGTTAGGAAATTAAATCCTGATAAGGTTCTATATGATGTCTCTTATCACTCTGTAGAGTAGAAATTTAAAGACCAGAAACACATATGGTTTTTCATCTTTATGATCCAATTTTTGACCACTGGAGTTTGTTTCCTGCTGCTGTTTTCACAAGGGCAGAAAATGCTTTGTCCAAAATCCACTTACTTCACTGCTGGCCTTCAGTTTGAGGAATGTTCTGTTAAATCCCAAATACATGGTTGCAATATTGAGCAAAAATTGACTTCCTGCTAATAAATTAATACGAATAGTGTTTGGTTTTCTCTCGGCTTTCTCATTAGTTCCTCATGTGAAGGGTGAATAAACTGCAGACGAGAAATGATAAGAAAACATGCTTTGCAAAATGAAGCATCAGTTACAGAGTCAAAGAATTGACTGTACTGAAAATGAAGCAACGAGAAAAGCCAATTGTGGATGTGAGGGCTCTGTGGTACTGCCAAGAAAGATAGGACAGGCCTGCCAGCCACCAAGGGAGAGTGTAGGGGCAACCTGGAGTGCCAGTGTCAGGCTGCACCAGAGAACCTCCCCAAGTATAGAGTGAGGAAGATGAAGGAGAACGTCAAGGAGCAGTGGTGTAGGGGTAGACATGTGCCCTGCATCTTTATGTTCCATCTCATTTTGCATCAGCGTTCCCTGATGTTATTTTTATTCTCCAAGTCCCTCAGTGAGACAATTTTGTTACAGCTCCTGCTTTTCAACCTTTATGGTGTTATTACGAACCTAATCCATGGTTTGCTTTCTGAAAATAATGTGGAGGACATAATGGAGATGAATATTCAGTAAAGAAACTTAAATTGCTCTCTTTAAGGGTTGATTTTGAAATATAATCTACTCTGCAAATAGATTACAATTCTGGTCATTTGGATATAAACATACTTCTATAAGAGAATTATTTGCTCTGGAAAGTGAGCAGAGGGAATTTAGAGAAGATGTACAAAAATAACTAGGAACCTCAAGGAAACAATTTATGTTTGGGCATTAAAGTAATGACAATAAAGCTTCTCCAGCAGAAGCTACAGGGACTTCATTGTCTTGCAGTAATGCAGGAGTATTTGTAAAAAGGGGAAGGAAAGACAGAAGATTATTTTATTTTGGTGTTAGGTCACATAACTGATGGGGATTTCCAGGTGGCAGAAGTGGAGCAGTGAAGACATTTAAAAGTGGCAAGTTTAGGCATCATGAGGGACATCCTGGCAGTGGCTGAGTCTACCAGGCTCAGGCTTAATAAATATGAGGAAAAAATTCCAAGATCTGCTTCAAAACAAGTAGTTTTAAGGGGTGGGTTGGTTATTTGTTTTGTTGGAGGTTTTGTTGTTTTCGCTTCCTTGTTTTCAAACTAACTCAAGATCAGCAAGTTTAAACATAAACTGATTTCTTCCCTCGCGCGGCCGCGTGGAAAGGAGAGAGGGAGCTTCGCCGGCGTGACCTTATGCCCTCGTGAGAAAGGAGAGAGAGGAGAATTGAAGCCTCGGAATACACAGAGGTTTGCCGGTCTGGTTTGGGGAGGGGGGGGGGTACCAGGCAGGCTGTGGGGGTCCTCGGACTGGAGGGTGGTCAGGTAAGTAGTGCGTGGGAAGATATGAGGAAACACGGTGGGGGGAGGACAAGATCAGAGTGGATAATAGTTTCCTCTGGGGCTTGGAGATCTTGGTCGGACTGGGGCCTAGAGAGGGCCTCGAGCCCTAGATGGGTACGGTGGCCAGAACAGTTTCGCTCGTTTGTTTGTTTTTGGTTCACCCGTGGCTACTGCCCAGGTTTGGTATGTCCTGGATTTATCTGTTACATCCTGTAAGGTTGGTCAGGACAAAGGGCTGATCCTGGGTGCTTCCTTGGGATTGAATATAGACAGATGGCAGAAACCTAGGTAGTGTAAGACTTGGCCTAATCGTTTTTAACAGTAAGAATGCAGCCTGTATACCCCTATGTGGTTGCGAGCTATGCTGGCGATGGTACATGCCTTCGGTAGGGTCGCCCATGCCAGACAGGTCAAAACTACAGGGTTGGATACAATAAATCTGTGGGCAGGATGAGCTCATTAGCCTTCTGGCAGTCATCCTAGGAGAAGGTCAACTCTAATCCCAAACCCGGGCAGATGGAGCTTGTTTAGCCCTGTAAGGCCATCCATCTAAGAGAAGGTCACTCTAATCAAACCTACATCCTGAGGACCTCACTGCCACCGTCCAAGCTCGCTCGGCCCTGGCAGATGAACCTCGGGATTAAAGGGTGGGTTCAGTTCCGCGCATACTGCATCTCACCTAAAAAATCCATTGCGCAGGCTTGAAGGCTTTACCCACATGCAAAAAGTCCTGTAGCGACGGGCGAGGGTCAAAACGGCAGGTGAAAGATGCACTGGGAGCCGCAGACTCAACCCTGCATGCAGGCGGTTCAGGATATTGGTCATTTGAGACTGACCGGAGATGACAGTCTCTTGGGGCAGCACCCTGAACGACCAAGCAGCCTTTCCAAGGACAGCACTGCTTGCTCCACTCGGAGAGGGGCCTAGAAAAGGTGGCCTAAACAAAGCTCATCTCCACTTTCACCCGGTTGGTTAACCGCAGACCAACGGGCATCTTCCTCCAATGCGGTCGCACAAAGAAAAGTCAAAGGCACGCACCTGCCTCCAAAGGTGTACCTAAATTAACTCTAGCATGTTGGAACATCAGAACCATGCTCGATTCTGCAGATAGCGGACGTCCTGAGCGTCGGTCTGCCCTAATTGCCCATGAGCTGGCTCGTCTCAACATCGACATTGCCGCTCTCAGTGAAGTTCGCCTTCATGAAGAAGGCAGCCTCAGAGAACATGGTGCCGGTTACACACTCTTTTGGTCAGGCAAGCCCAGAACCGAAAAACACCTCTCAGGAGTCGGCTTCATGATCAAAAACTCTATTGTTCCTAAACTCGAAAATCTGCCGACAGGTCACTCTGACCGCATTATCTCCCTACGCCTTCCACTAAACAACAAGCAACATGTTGTCATCTTTAGTATATATGCCCCAACTCTCCAAGCTGACCCTGCTGAAAAAGATAAATTTTACACTGACCTGCGCCTCCTTACCCAAAAGGTCCCTGCAGACGATAAGATCATTATCCTTGGTGATTTCAACGCCAGAGTAGGCAAGAATTTTGAAGTTTGGAAAGGTGTATTAGGCAAGCATGGTGTTGGAAACTGCAATGATAATGGTCGACTTCTGCTAGAATTCTGTGCAGAGCAACAACTCACCATCACTAATACTATCTTTCAGCAGAAAGATAGTCTGAAGACAACCTGGATGCACCCCCGTTCTAAGCATTGGCACCTCATCGATTATGTCCTGGTGCGACGGAGAGATGTCCGCGATGTCCACCATACCCGCGTGATGCCCAGCGCAGAATGCCAAACAGACCATCGGCTGATGCGCTGTAAACTCAATTTCAAGATCAAAATCAAACCAAAAAGGGGCAGCATCCCAAGGAGAAAACTCCAAGTTAACAATCTCCAATCAGCCACAGTAAGAGACAGTTTCCAGGCAAACCTTCAAACTAAGCTCGATAACATTCCCACAGTTTCTGCAGATTCCTCTCCTGAAACAATCTGGCATCATATTAAAAACAGCATCCTGCAATCCTCCGAAGAATCCTTAGGGTTCTCCCTCAAGAAGAACAAGGATTGGTTTGACGAAAACAACCAAGAAATCCAAGACTTGTTGAGGAAGAAGAGAACCGCCCACCAAGCACACCTTGCACTGCCATCCTGTCACGCA